AGAAAGGGCAGTTCGTCATGGCCCCCAGCTCCCCTGTGCCCCCCAATGTCTCCCCGCCTCGGCCCTTCTCCCCCCAACTTCACCCTGAGCCACACAGCGTGACCGGGCCCTGCGGCCGCGGGCTGGGGGTGGAGGGGGGTGGGGGGCTCAACCCCCCCAGACCTGCTTTTAAGATGGAACCGCGGGGGCTCAGGGGGCGGGCGGGGGAGGCTCCGCTTAAGCTTAAAAGCCTTCGCTCCTCCCCTCCCCCGCCGGGGCTTGGGATTCGGGGCTCCCCACCCGGCAGTAACCCCCAAGAGCGGAGCGAAGGCGAGAGGTGGGGAGCAGGGCTCCCCCCTGTGGGGTGAACGGCGGCCGGGCTCCTCCGTCCTCCCCCATCAGGCTGAGGATGGGCCGCGCCTGGAGGGGTGTGGGCGCGCGGGCCCCTGGGCGGAGGCGGGCTCCCCAGGGAAGGCGGACCGCGAGGAGAACCAGCGAGGGAACAGAAGCAGCAGCGAAGCAGAGGCCTGAGAGGTGCGGAGGCGCCCAGGGAGAGGGGAGACTCCGGGGGGCTGGGCCCGCCAGCCCCAGGCCCCGCACCCCCGCCCGCCAGCCCCAGGCCCCGCACCCCCGCCCGCCAGCCCCAGGCCCCGCACCCCCGCCCGCCAGCCCCAGGCCCCGCACCCCCGCCCGCCAGCCCCAGGCCCCCGCACCCCCGCCCGCCAGCCCCAGGCCCCGCACCCCCGCCCGCCAGCCCCAGGCCCCGCACCCCCGCCCGCCAGCCCCAGGCCCCGCACCCCCGCCCGCCAGCCCCAGGCCCCCGCACCCCCGCCCGCCAGCCCCAGGCCCCGCACCCCCGCCCGCCAGCCCCAGGCCCCGCACCCCCGCCAGCCAGCCCCAGGCCCCCGCACCCCCGCCCGCCAGCCCCAGGCCCCGCACCCCGCCCGCCAGCCCCAGGCCCCGCACCCCCGCCCGCCATGCACCTGGTGCACCCCGGGGAAAGCCAGCCAGGGCTCCGGCCTCCTCCTGCGCCGCCCGCCCGGCCACAGCGACCCCGCGCTCCCGCGGGCGCCGGGACGCGCAGCCGCGGCCCCTGAGGCCCGAGGCCCCCGCCCCTCCCGCTGCCCCGCGCGCCTGGGCGCAGGTGACGCCGTTTGGGCGCGTGGTGCCCCCGCCCAGGTGGGCGTGATCGTCCCCGCCCGGAGCCCCGCAGCCGCCCGGAGGAGGAGCGGCCGGCCCCGCGGGGAGGAGGAGCGGCCGGCCCCGCGGGGAGGAGGAGCGGCCGGGCCCGCGGGGAGGAGGAGCGGCCGGCCCCGCGGGAGGAGGAGCGGCCGGCCCCGCGGGAGGAGGAGCGGCCGGCCCCGCGGGAGGAGGAGCGGCCGGCCCCGCGGGGAGGAGGAGCGGCCGGGGAGGAGGAGCGGCCGGGCCCGCGGGAGGAGGAGCGGCCGGGCCCGCGGGGAGGAGGAGCGGCCGGCCCCGCGGGAGGAGGAGCGGCCGGCCCCGCGGGGAGGAGGAGCGGCCGGGCCCGCGGGGAGGAGGAGCGTCCTGCCGCGCGTGGGCGCCGCGCCGCGCCCCGCCAAGCAGCAGACGCGCCGGGACCCACCCCGCGGCCCCGCCGCCCCGGGAGCCCCACGCCCGGCCCGGAGCTGCCCACAGGGCGCAGCCGACCCCCCCCTCCCCGCCGCTCCCTCCGCGGGGGTCCTCTCACCCCCGCCCCTCCGGCCGGGACCCCAGTTCTTGGCGCATAAATAAATCTTTAAAGAATACACAAAAAAGGCGGCACTTCAGCCCCGCCCTGACCCCTGGCACCCGCCCGTGGCGAGGCCAGGAGCGTCTCCAGAAGCCCCGGAGCCGCGGTCAGGCGAGACGCGGCCCGGCAGGAGCCGGGCTCGGGGCACGGACGCCCATGGGCGGGATTCCGGCGCCTCACGCGGACGGTGGCTTCCCGGGCCCGCGCGCGCCCGCGCCCCGCCAGGGCAGGCTCTTCACGCCGCGCGCCCGGAACACCCGTCGTCCAAGCACCAGACGCCTCGGCAGGACCGAGGACGCCGCCGAGAGCAAGCCCAGTCACAGACACACGAACATCGGAGCTGGTCACGGGGCCAGGAGCACTCCGCGAAAAGCCGCAGCAGGAAGACGGCGCGGGGGTGGGGGGTCCCGAGGTGCAGGGGCGCGCGGTGCAGGGGTCCCGGGGTGCAGGGGTCCCGGGGTGCAGGGGTCCCGGGGTGCAGGGGTCCCGGAGTGCAGGGGCGCGCGGTGCAGGGGTCCCGGGGTGCAGGGGCTCGCGGTGCAGGGGCGCGCGGTGCAGGGGTCCCGGGGTGCAGGGGCGCGCGGTGCAGGGGTCCCAGGGTGCAGGGGCGCGCGGTGCAGGGGTCCCGGGGTGCAGGGGCGCGCGGTGCAGGGCGCGCCGTCCTGGCCTCCGCTGCAGGGGCTGGGCTGGGCGGCTGCGCTCTGGCCTCCAGGAGCCGCGACCCTGGGCGCGGACACCGCCGGCATCACCCCTGGGGGCGGAGGGTGTCCGCGGTGGGGACGCCCAGGACGGGGGAGCAGGCTGGGGGCCGGCCCTGTCCCGGGCGCGGGCCAAACGCGCGGAACGCGGCCCCGGCGGCGGGTTTGCGAGGGGCCAGGGCCGAGCTCGCGGGCGGGGTGCACGGAACTGGCTCCCGGGCGGTCTCGGGTGGGAGCGGGCCCCGCGCAGACCACCCCTCCGCGGGCTCCGGTGCGCGAAGACGAGCCTCGCGAGAGCCTTTGGAATCGGCGGCTCAGCGGCAACACCCGGGGGCCTTGGCGCCCGCGACCCCCGCAGTCCCGGGGGAGGGGCGCCCCAGGGCCCACCGCACCCCTCTCCGCTGGCCAGGGCGCTGGGTGCCGGCGAGAGCGGCCCGACCCGGGCTCTCCACACCCCTGGGCAGGCCGCCCAGGAGATGGGGATCTGGGCCTCGGCGTGCGGGCCCAGCAGCCCACCCCCGCGTGGGGACCCGGCGCTGGGACAGGGTGTCGGGGGAGCCCTGCCTTGACTGCGATTCGGGGGTCTCCTCTCAGAACTGTGGGGTCTCCCTGCCAGGGCGCGCCGGGGTCCGAGCTCGGGGAGCAGAAGCCCTGCCCTGCGCCCACGCGGGGACCCTGGGCCGGGGGGAGCCAGGCGCAGATAGGGGCTGGGGTGTCCGCCGTGCAAGGGAGACCCTCGCTGCTCGGGCGGGCCAGGGTGAGGCCCCGCGCGCTCCTCCTGCTCGCGGGGTCCCGGGCCCGGCCCTCGGGCACCCGCGCGGGTCTCGGGGGTCCCGGGCACGGCGGGAGGGGCAGCGTCTCCGCCCGGGGCGCGGGCGGCAAGGGCGGCGGGGTTCGCGGGGGCCCCTGCTCTACCCCGCACCTTCCCGCGGTTCCTCAAAAGAAGCCGTGGCGGCTCCGGTGCCGGCAGCGGCTGGGGCGGCCTCGCCCCGGGCTGCGGGGGCTGCGGGTGGGCGCCCCACCGGGTCCGGCCCTCCGAACACGAAGCCGCCGGTCGGGCTGCTCCAGCGCCCCCCCGAAGCCGCGCCCCCGTCGCGCTGAGCCCCCCCACGGAGCACTTCTCCTTCCGTGGCCCCTCGGGGCCCTCGGCCGCCCCCCTGCGCCCCCAGCCCGCCCCTGCCTGGGAAGGCCCTGCTGTCCTCGCGGTGCTGCCCTGACGTGCCCATCTGAACCCCAACACCCGCTCGGAGCAGCGCGTCCCCCTCCGGCTGCGCAGGGCGCGGACACGCCCGGGTCCAGCCTGTGCTGCTGACGGAGGCCCCGCCGCCTGGCAGAGCGTTTGCCGGGGCCCCGGGGCCCCAGGACGGCGGCCCAGCGAGGTGGCCGGGACTCCTGGCCCGTCCGGAGCCCTCCCAGGGGCCGCCCCACGCCCCGCCCGCTGCTGGGCGCCTGCGGGCTGTGGCCTCCGCGCCGGGGCTGTTCCGGGCACCCAGGACGCAGGGGCACTGCCCCGCGCTGGCGCAGCGGCCTCGCGGCCCACGGCTGAGCCCCCGGAGGGCCGAGCTCCGCACCCTTCAGCTTCCAAGGGTCGGGCGGGCGTCTGCGCGGGCAGCCGGACCGGCCAGATAGGAGGTGGCGCCGCGGGGAGGCGAGTCGTCCGGCCGCACACCTGCCACGCGCCCAGGGCCGGCAGTCGCGGCCGCAGGTCCCCCCAGCTCGGGGGGCGCAGGGTGTAGCCCCAGGACTGCCACCAGCGACGAAGGCGGCCCAGGGACCCACACGAGGCCGCTACCCGGCCGGCCGCTTCCCCGGGCCGCCGTGCCTCAGGGCAGTTTTCGAGGCCAAAGGCCTTGGGGACAGGCTGTGCCCCCAGGGCCGCCTGCTGACCGGTGCTCGGTGCCGAACTGTGCGTTTGGGTATTAAGGCTCAGCTGTCTGTGGGGTGACCCCGCCCCTTCCTGGGGTGTGTTTAACTGCCTGGCTTTTGTCTCTCTGCAAGAGCTCACGTGAGGTCACCCCAGCTGTCTCGTCCCCGGCCACGGGGCGGCACCCCAAAGCCACCGTGGGGCCCGCGTCTCCTGCCCGGCGGCTGGGCTTGGCAGCGGAGCCTGCACGCAGGAGGCCTCCGCTGCGCGCCGGACGCGAGGGCCCTTCCCGCCCGCGGTGCCACCCACGGCAGGTGCGTCCTCCGGGAACCAGGGCAGCGCAGGCGACCGGCCGCGTGCTGGGCCACACCGCCCACCGCAACCCGCCGCGGGGGACAGGGGTGCTGGGGAGGCCGGGCCGCCAGGGGAGCCGCAGAGACCCCTGTCCCTGGAGAGCCACGGCCTCCTCTGCGCGCTCTGGCCGGGCTCGGGCTTGGATTTCAAGGAATGAGCGTCGGCCCGCGCCTGCCCGCGCACACCTGACCACTCGGCCAGGCGGCCCCACGCTGACGGCGGCCCAGGCTCCCCGCGACCCCGCCCCGCGAGCCCCACAGGCCTGTCCCGCCCGCGACCCTCGGGAGGGGGAGGTTCTGGCCCGGCGCCCCTGGCGGCCACCCCGGGAGCCGCGCCGGGGCGGGGGTCACGCGAGTCACGGGCCGTGAGAATTGCCATTTATTCCCGAATCGCCAAAATCATCACCAAGGGTCACCACGGGGCATGAAGAGCACGAGGTCAAACACTGATTGAGGGGCCGGCGAGGAGCTGGAGGGAGGGGTGCGGTGGGGAACCCCCGGCTTTCCCTCCCCTTTCTAATGCCACAGGAAAGGGGTCCCCCCGGCCGGCGCCCCAGCCCCATGTCCAGCCGCGCGGGAGGCGGCGGGCCGCGGGAGGAGGGTGTAGTGTGCGTGGCCCCGGGGGCGCCGCGCGGCCCGTCACATGCACTCACAACACGATCTCCGGGGCGGGGAGCGGGGCGGCCGCGGCGGGCCCCCTCGCGCCCGGGATTATAGGAGGAAGGGATTAGTGTTGGGGGCCGGCGGCCCCGGGGGCATCATGGGCGGCAGCGCGGGGCCCCCGCCGAGCGGAGAGATGTACGTCGGTGGTGCCCCGGGGACGGGGGGCACAGGGCTGAGCCGGAGCTGGTTCAGGGTGAGCGTCGCGGGGGGCGCAGGCTGGAAGGGGTTGGTGACGGAGGGGCCGGTGGCCGGGGCTCCTGCGGCGAGGGCAGACGCAGCGGTGGGTTCCTGAGCAGCCGCAGGCCCCGCCCCCGGCCCCGCCCCGCCCGAGGCCCCGCCCCTCCCCCCGCGGCCCCCCTCACCACTGGGCAGGAAGGGGTTCGAGGCCTTGGCTCCTGGTGGTGTCGGGCCCGGCCGGCTCACCAGCGAGTCCAGGTCCACCAGGGCTGCGTTGGGGCCCAGGAAGGACTCCGGAGTCTTCCGCGTGGGGGCAGCAGGGGCTGGCGCAGCAGCTGGCGGGGGGCTCCCCACAGCCTCGGCCAGCGAGCCCCCGACCCCGCTCATGTCAAACGCCCCGGGGCTGCGGGCAGGCACCTCCCCGGCCAGCAGCTCCAGCTCCCCTGGAAGGCGCGGGCGGGCTCAGGGGGGCGGGCCTCGGCCGCAGGTGGCCTGGGGCGTGGGCTGCGCTCTAAGGTCTGGGGAGGTCGCGCTGTGCATGGCCAGGAAGGCCCCGGCCAGGCTCCTCCGGCCCCAGACCCTGCAGGGACAGGGCACCTGCTGGACGGCGCCCCGCAACAGGCCCCTCCCGGGACACGCCGCACCTCCGGGCCGGCCTTCCTCAGCCTACAGCGCGCTCACAGCGCAGGACGCTCAGCTGCACCCAACCACTGGAGGCTAAGGGACCCATGGAGGGGGTGTGGGGGGCTTGGGGGCAGGGCCTACCTGTGCTGCTCCCCGATGTCGGCAGGGCCGTCCGCAGGCGGTCAAAGTCTGAGAACTCGTCAGGTTCCGCGTCAAACCCCCCGACAGCTGTGGGGCGGCCAGCAGCTCAGCTCCCACTCAGGAGCCGGACGCCCACACCCCAGCGTCTGCCCCACCTACCTGCAGTGCCATTGGTGCTGGGCTTGGCAGGTGACCCACCCCACGGGTCCGAGAAGGCCGGGGCCGGGGCCCAGGGGTCAGAGGCTGGGGGTCCGCCAGCAGGGGCCCCACCTGGGTGGGAAAGTCGCCGCATGAGGGGCAGGCTGAGCCTGTGGCTGCTCAGAGATCGCCCCCACGCCTGCCCTGGAGACAGAGTGCCCTCAGGGTCCCCACAGTGACCAGGAGAAACACACTGCCCCCCTTTGTCCGCGTGTCCTAGCTGCAAGGCCTTGAGGTGACTGGAAACGCCCCCAAAGGCCTCCTCCGCTTCCCTGACCGTGCAGCCCCTGTTGCACACGCACTGGCAGATCCCCAGGCCCAGCTGGCGCCAGAGGCCCTTCCCCGTCCACCCCCGGCCCGCCCGGCTGCTCACCTTCCGAGCTCCCCCACGGGTCGGACGTGGGTCCCTCTCCGGCTGCCGGGGCCTGGGCCCCGCCCCAAGGGTCCACCGGGGGCCCCGCAGGAGCAGCAGGCCTCCAGGGGTCCCCAGAGGCCGGTGTGGGGGCGGGGCCACCCCAAGGATCCGTGGTTGGGGGGACAGGGGGTCCCCCCCAGGGATCTGAGGCCGGTGCAGCCGTGGGCGCGGGGACTCCCCAGGGGTCGGCGGCTGGCGCAGGAGCCGGGGCTGTGAAGACGTCGGCCAGGTCCATGAGGGAGGACTGCAGGGGAAGCAAGGATGAGGCAGGGGCAAGGGGGGGCCCCAGCCGCCAGGCGAGCTCAACCACAGTGGGGGCGCTTAGGGGAACAGCGCCCAGAGCCCACACCCCGCAAGTCCCCGCCACAGCCCCTGCTCCCCTTCCAGGCCAGGTCACACCCTGACTGCCACGCCCCAAGTCCTGGGGCCACACCGGGCCGCCGGGCGCCCTCTGGGGGGTGAGGCCTCAGGCCCGGGGGCCGGCCCGAGCTGGGAGACACGCTGACGCTGACGGGGAGGCGCCTGGGGCCGCGGGGCGGTCGAGCTGGGCTTCCGCAGGGGCGCAGGGGCGGGCGCGGGCGGGCTCACCTCCTCCTGGCCGCCCGTCTCCCTCTTGCTCTCCTCGATGGCCATCTGCAGCCTCAGGTCGTCCCCGCGGCGGATCCGCTCCTCCTGTGGGGCCGGGCAGGGGGTCAGGCCGGCTGCTGCCCCCGAGCCACCCCAGAACCGCGCCCACCCCGAAGCGCCCGAAGCGGACATGGGATGAGGCCGATGTGTGGGGAGGGAGGCGGAGGGGTGCGAGGCTGGGTGAGGACGGGGCGCTGTGGGGTGCTGCTGAGGGAGCCTGGCCCGCGGGTCCCTGCGCGGGTGGGGTGCGGGCGGGCGACGGCGCTGTTCCCGCTCGGCGTGGGGGCCGGGCAGAGGGCGGGCGCTCGGGCCCTCTTCCGCCGGTGCCGGAGCTGCGGGCCTGGGGTCTCGGGGCGCCCTGCGGGGAGGCTGCTCTGACCTTATCGTGCTCCTCTCGGCTCAAACTAAGGGCCAGCTGGAGCTGGACGTCGTCCTCGGGGCCACAGGGCGGGGGCTGGGGAGAGAGCGTGAGGGCGGGGGCTGAGGGCAGGCGCGGGGCAGGCGCGGCCGGAGCGGGCGGCTGGCAGGCCGGGTGGGGGGGCGGGCGGCGGCGGGAGAGCAGGGTGGAGATGGGCGGAGATGGGCGGAGATGGGCGGACGTGGCGGCAAACCAAAGTCCGCCGCGCCGCCGCGGGCCCACCTGGTCGGCCTCCTCCTTGCTCATGGCCAGGGCCAGCTGCAGCTGCAGCTCCTCCTCCCCGCTGCTCTGCGGCCAGGCCTGCTCCGCCTCGGGCGGGGGCCCGGTGCCCACCGCCGCCGAGGACGCTGTGGGGCGAGAGCGGGTGCTGAGGCGGGCCGGTGGCCGGGGCCCAGACAGCGGGCTCCCCGCGGGACCCAGGGCCCGGCAAGGGGAGCGGGCGGGAGCCCCAGAAGGCAGGAGCCGGCGTAGGCCGGCAGGGCAGCCCCACCCGAGGAGGGCGCTGGGCAGGGCCCCGCGATAAGGAGGGTGGGAGACTCCCCAGCCGCCGCCCTCGCCAAGGTCCCGCCCAAGGTCAGGGCCAGACTCCCGCTGCCCGCGGCCTACCGGCCCTCTGGACCCCCTCAGCTGGGACGGCCCCGGGGGGCCTCTCCCTGCATGGTACAGGACCACCCCCTCCAGAGACTCTGTCCCCCCAGACAGGCCCGCCGCACCCACAAAGAACACGGCCTTGTGGCCGCTGCTCAACCACCCAGCCAGAGCCCCGATGACCCTGGGGGGCGGTGGGGGGGCGGGCTGGGGGCCGGGGCTCACCCGTGGCGGTCTGCGCCAGCTTCTCCTTGGTCTTGAGGGCGTGGGCACGCTCCTCCCGCAGCCGGTCCTCGTCCCGCAGCAGGGCCACCAGCTGCTTGGCCTTCTCGCGCACGTTCACGCCCTGGTCCTTGCCGTCGCGGTCCACGTACTGGAAGTCCTTGAGCGTCTGCACGGCGTACATGTTCTCCTTGCACTGCTGCGACACGCGCTCCGAGCCGGTCTTGATCAGGTACTCCATCAGCGTCATGGCCTGCGGGCGCCCGTGGCCGTGAGTGCCCCGCTTGCCCGTTGGATCCCGGGCTGGCCACCCCGAGAGGGGCTGACGGCCAGGGCAGAGCCCACCAGGCGTTTCTCCATGCAGCGGGGCCCCCGAGGCTACGAGGGCCTAGGGAGTGGGGAAGGGTGCGGTGGGCCGCAGAGCCGGTCACCGTCTGGGTCGAGCCTCACGCCGGGAGCTCGGCCCTCAGCCAAGGACCCAGCTTAGAGGGTGCCGATGATCCAGGGGCTCCCCGGAGCCCCCAACACCCACACAAGGCTCCCGGCTTTAGAGCAGAGCAGAGCGCCAGGGCCAGAGTCTGTGAAGGCCATGAGGAAGCCACTCGGCTGGGCAGCCACGACCTGTGGGCAGGCCCCGGCGCAAGGGGACCTAGACCTGCACCCCAAGGACCCATGCCCATGTGAGACCAGCGTGGGCACAGACGCCAGCCAAGAAGCGAGCCGCAAGCATGCGCCCCAGCCCAAGGTGAATGTGGCCCGCAGAGTGGCCAGGCCTGGGCCAGCCCCAGAGAGCAGGCAGCAGGGGTCGGGCCCACCGGGGGGCTCCGCGGATGCCCCAGGAGGAGCACGTGAATCCGGTGCCATCTTGGAGAGCGGCCCAGGGGCCCAGGGTGTCCAGGACACACAGCACTCGGGCTCTCATGAAAAGCGGCCGAACATACCAGGGATGCATCCCGGCCAGGCCCGCGGGGGCATGAGGCCAGGCAGAGAAGGCACCGCAGGGGTGTCAGCGCCGGCTCCACACCCAGGTCCACTCACCTCAGGCCGAACTCGGACCGGCAGCCTGCGTCTCGCACAGCAGGCCCCCAGCGCCCCGGCCCTCACGGCCAGCCCTCCCACCCAGTCAGCTCCAGGGGCCACGTGGCACCAGGCGGAGGAGCAGAGCCCTCGAGGGCACAGGCCCACCAGGCACCCAGGGCCCCACACTGGCCTTCCCAGTGGGCAGCCTCCCAGACAAGGCCCTTCTCACGCGAACACGCGAACACGCGCACCGCCACGCGTGCTCCCTGCATTCCGCGAGCTGCCTGCGCAGACACGCGGGACCCAGGCCCTCCCAAAGAGGCGGCCGGGAGCCCGCACCCCCACCCCCGACCCCGCCTGAAGACGCTCCGACCTTGTAGCCGCCCTCCCCCGCCGCCCTGACCTTGTAGACGTGCCGCCAGTTCTTGCCGTGGTCGTTGAGCCGCTTCCAGATCATGCTCATGATCTCGGAGAAGGCGACGACGTTGTAGGTGAGGTCGGCGATCTCTGACATGAGGGAGCTGGACGGGCCCCAGGGGTCGTTGCTCGTGGCCTCTCGGACCTTGATCTCAGCCTCCGAGTAGTTGTGGACGATGTTCTTCATCTGGCGCCGCAGCGAGGAGGTCGACATCGTGGTGGCAGTGGCGAGGGCGTGCCCCGGGGGCAGCCGGGCGGCTACTGGCGGGGCGGTGGCAGGGGCTGGCAGTCAGCGCATCTGCGGGAAGGACAGCCTCTGAGCAGCCGGCCCCCGCCCAGCCTGAAACCGGCCCTGGCCCTGGGGGTGCCCGGCGTGAGGGTCCGAGGCCAGCACCCAGCCGGGGCCGAGGCCCTGTCCCAAGTTAACCTCCGAGGTTTTTCAGTTCCCCAAACCCGCCGGCTTCTTCCTGCTCGGGGCTCTGCTCAGCCAGGCGGCGCGTGCAGCCTGGAAGACTCAGGGGCCAAGGGGGCACACCCCAGTCGCACCTGCACCCCGGCTTCCTGCTCAGCAAAGCCCAGCTGCCCGAGAGCTGAGCGGGTGGAGCCGCAGGGAGCGCACCACAAACCCTGAGGCGCAGGAGCCCAGATCCCCGTGCCCGGCGGGCCCTCTCACTCCCGTCGGCCTCGTGACTCTGTGCTCATCAGCCTGCCTGTGTGTGGCCGTGGCCATCCCACGCTAGAGCCGGGCCAGAAGTCGCTCCAAGAACGGCGCTGACACGAGGAGGGCAGCACCCAGAACAAGGACACGGGGGAGGCGGGGAGGCTTCCGGGGCCGCTGGGCATCCCAGAGGCGAGAGTGTGGCAGCCCAGCGGCCCGGGAGCCCTAGCCTGAGCTCAGACCAGCCCCACGAGACCTGGTCAGCACCCTGACTGCCGGGGCACCTGCAGGCTGAGTGACACAGCAAGGCCACACCACACAGGGCAGCACTGACAGCCCAGCGCCGAGGCTCCCAAACCCACGCCTTCAACTCAAGCTGTGCAGAGAAGGCGCAGGTGGACAGCAGGGGCGGCAGCAGGGGACAGCAGAGGCGCCTGGCCCTCGCCCAGACACGGCATCTGCAGACGCCACCTCAACCAGCCCTCCCAGCCCAGCGACCCGCCACCAGCTTTAGGGGAGGAAACTGGGGTGCTGAGGGGGGCTCCTCACCCTGGGACACACGCCTCATCCCCAGCTCTGACTGCCGCGGCGCGTGGCCTCTCTGAGGAGCCACAGACAGAGCCTGTGCCCACCACACTGGGCCCAGGGCACGGCCACCCGTGGGCTCGGCCAGGGCCTAAGTGAGACAGAGCGGAGCAGTGGAAGCGGCAGCCACGGTGCCAAGCCAGGTGCGCTGGGACGGAGAGGTGCCAGGACACCCGGGCAGGGGGAGCTGCCCAGAGGCACCAGACAGACGTGGGGACAGCAAGCAGGAGGCCAGAGCTCAAGGAGGCCTGCAGCCAGGGGAGGCAGGAACCTGGGGCCAAGAAGCAAGAGGAGGAAAACGGGGTGTAAAGCCAGGAAGAGAGTGTGGGTGCCAATCAGCCACGCCGGCCACCAAGTCAGCAGCCTCCCTGGCGGCCGTCTGCTCAACTCTGAAAGGGAAGCGCACCCCTACCCTGCCGGGTGCTGATTAAAGGGGTGGGAACAGAAGCGCTCGGCCATCCCCAGAGTGGGCGCCCAGCCGCGGGGTGCTATTACCAGGAAAGCCAAGGGTGCCCGCAGGGCGGAATCAGGAGGCGCGGGTCCGGGTACCCCGGCTCCCGCGGCCCAGGAGGCCGGGCTTGCTAAGCCCACGCAGAGAAGCGCCAGGTTCAGCGGGGGGCGGACGGCTTGGGGTTCAGCGGCAGGACCCAAACCCCCGCTGCGGAACGCGGGGTCCGCGAGCCTCTCCGGAAAAACACAGACCCCCACCCACGGCCGAGGCTAAGGCCGCGCTGACTGCTCCCCGGATTCCGGCCCGGCCCCGACCCCCGCGCGAGCGCGCCCGCGGCCCGTCCAGTGGGGACGAGCACCCCAACTCCACTTCTAGGAGCCAGGGCTGGCGATCGGAGGCGGCGGCGGCCACGGGCCTCAGACCCCGGCCGGCGCGGCCCCGGCCCCGGCCCCGCGGGCGCAGACCCGACTGGGCCGAGAGGGGCCGGGGCCGGGCGGAGCCCGCGGAGACGGAGGCGCCGGCTGCCGGGCCGCGGGGCGACGGCGGCGGACGCAGGCCCGGCGAGGACCGGCCGCCGACCCCGCCCGCCCTCCGCGCTCACCTCGGCGCCCTCACGCCCGGATCCGGGGGGTCATGGCGGGCACCCCGGCCCCCGCCGGCCGCGGTGTCGCGGGGCGCGCTCGGGCGCAGGCGCGGACGCACGGAGGGCCGCACGCCGACCGCCCCGCCGCCCCGGCGCCCAGGGGGGGCGCGGAGACCGGGCGGGGGAGGGGAGCCGCCGAGCGGACGGGAAGCTACCGAAGGGGGCGACGGACCGGAAGCGGAAGCGGCCCCGCGCCCCGCCCGGCCGGCGCTGGCGCGGCCGCGCACGTCACTTCCGGCGCGCGGCCCGCCGCAGGCGCCCCCGCCCACTTCCGGCCGCGCGCCGGGAGGAGCCCCCCGCCCCCGGGCAGACAGCGACAGAGCCACGCCGTAAAGTAAAATACAACAAAATGTTTAATGAGCAAATTCGTCTTAGCAAATATGAAACTGCCACAGAGGGGACAGCGCGCGGGCGGGCGGGCGGGCGGGGCCAACTAGGGGCCGGGGCGGGGCCGGCCGGGGCGGCGCGGCGGGCCGGGCGGGGCGGGGCACCGGGCGGACAACGAAATCGGAGTTTGGCCATAAAATATAAACACGCTATGTTTCTACGGGGGCGGGGCCGGGGGGCGCGGGTCGCCCCGCCTGTGCGGCCCCGGCCCGGGTCTGCGGCGCGTGTCGGGCCTGTGCGCGCTCCCGCCCCGCCCCGCCCCGCCGCCATTCCAGTTGCTGCCGCGGCCACTCGGCTGTCACTCCTCTGCCCTTCGGTCTTCAGAGGGGAAAAGAGGGGGGTGGGGGGGAGAAGCCCCCGGCCAGCCCGGCCCACCCTCCCCCTCCGCCTCTACCAGAAGTCCCTGCGGTGGTAGGAGTCGGGGTCACAGTACTTTGTGACGACCACTCTGTTGGCGAACTTGCGGCCCGTCAGGCCCTGCATGGCTTTCTGGCAGTCGAACACCGAGGTGAACTCCACGAAGATCTGCGGGGACAGGAGGCGCTCAGCTGGCTCCCGCGCGACGGCCAGCACCATCCCAGGCAGAAGGGGGCCCCCAGCATCCCCCAGAGCCAAGGCCCGCTGGCCGGGCCACGCCCCAGGGGCATGTCTGCTGTGGCTCCCTGGCACCCGCCCTGCCCCCCCAGGGCCATGTTCTTCCCAGACAGCGAAGGGTCAGAAATCGGGGCTCAAACAGGTTGGCTGAAAAAATACAAAACCTAAACCTTGGTCTACTCAAGCCAGCTTAAAGGGATGGGCCCTGGGACGCAGCGGCCCCAGCCCAAGCCGGCACCCTGGGAGGGTCCGGGGACATCTGTACCAGCCTGCGTGGCTCGGCTCCCGGCATTCAGGCGGGAGGCTGCCCAGGAGGGGAACTGCCGAGATATTTCAAGGGGCGGTGCTCAGCCGGGACCAGCGCACACCAGGACCCTGCTGGGGCCTGGACCCCAGGGGGCCGAAGCCCAGCAGGCAGCATCCTTAGGGGAAGAGCCCAAAGTGCAGGGGCTGATGGGCAGAAAACGTCTCGAGGGTCCCATGTGCGCCGTGACCACCTGTGGCCCAGCCCAGGGGGCCCTGACTGCCACACGTGCCGTCACCCCAGCTGTGGAGCCACACTGCTCTGGGGCCACACCGCCTCCTCTACACCTGCACATCTGGAAGAATGTTCTCAGCGAGGCAGGGCACCGCCTCCTCCACCGGGCCCAACAGCTCACCCCGCCCCTGATGCCTGTGGGCCCTGCGGACCCCCTCCCTCTGCTGGGGTGTCCCAGGACGGCACCACCAGCACGCCACACGCAGCCCAGTCACCCCCCTTGCTTCCCACTGCGTTTCCCACTTGCTCCCTCCTACCTGAGCGCCCTCCCACTTCTCTCTACCCAGTGACCCCCAAGCCACTGCCAATTCTCACAGCACCGCCTCCAGGGAGCACCTGAAGCTGGCACCTGTGGCCTCCTTTCTTCCCACCACCGGCAGGGCCCAGCTGGGCGGGATTAAGAAGCCCCCACCCACCGCAGGGTGCAAGCTCCATGCACCAGGTGTGCGACCACAGTGGGGCCTTGCACAGCCTCCCGGCTTGCTCCGAAGGCCTCCCAACACTCTCTTTCCAGCACCGATGCGGGACCCCCAGCACCAGCCCCGCTGGCCCTGCCCCCCCCTCCCCTGGTCACACGGCGCCCCGGCCGACCCGAGACAGAGCCCGCGTGCTGCTGCCCGGCCACCGCCTGCCTGTGCTGACACCCCTCACCCCGACCCCACCAGCCCTTCCCTGCCCCGTGTAGCATTGGCCCGAGTCTCTCCGCGCTGGCCCCAGGGCAGAAGGGCACGGGCCCCTGACAGCATCAGAGGCCTCTCGGAAACCTGCCAGCGGGGCCTCTGAGAAGTGGTGGGGGACAGGCTCAGCTGAGTGCCTGGCCCCCACCTTGGTGCTTCCCTCCCCAGTCCTGAACAGCCAAACTGTTGTCCACGCCACGTGACCAAGGGCGCAGCTGGGCAGCCAGGTCCAGCTGCCTCCACACATCCGCTCCTCAGCAGGGCGGCAAGCCCCCCCGCCCCATGCACACCCCCCCACCGCCGCCAGCCCGGGCCCAACAAGGTTGGAGGAGCAGCCTCACCTTCCCGCAGCCGGGCACCTCCACGCCGTCCACGGGCCGCGGGATCTCAATGGACTTGACCAGCCCGTACTTGCTGCACTCGTCGCGCACGTCCTCCACGATCTCCTCATACTCCTCGTCATCCAGCAGCTCCTCGGGCAGCACCATGTTCATGAGGCACAGCACCTCGGTGGGGTGCCCGCCCATCTGCACCTGGGAGCTCATCAGGCCCGGCACTTGCAGGGTCACCGGCGTCTGGTTGATGGTGCTCTGCGGGGCACAGGGCGGGGTCACCAGGGCCGGCAGGGACCCCAGGCCAGCACGGCCCGGCCCCGCCCTTGCCGGCCCCCACCCCCGCTAGCCAATGGAAGATGACGTGCCGGGAGGCTCACCAGCGTGGCGTTCTTGGCCCCCACGCTGGCCCTCTGGACGAGCAGCTTCTTGTCCCCCAGCTGCATCCCATTCAGCCCTGCGATGGCCTGCGTTGGAGCACCGGGGCACGGGGAGAGGCGGTCAGGGGCAGGAGCCCAGTGCCTGGCGGGGCAGCGGCTGGGGAAGAGGGAGCAGCCGAGGGGCGAGAGTGCGAAGAGCCACAGAGGAGAAGGGGCCAGCCCCAGGGCCCGATGCAGGCGCCACCCCTGCTGCCCCCCTTCCCAGAGGGAGCCCCGGGCACAGGGCGGGGGCTCACCTGGTCCGTGACGTTGATGTCCACGTACTCACAGAAGGCGTAGCCCTTGGAGAGCCCCGTGGCGCTGTCCTTGACCAGGTTGAAGGCCTTGAGAGGCCCGAAGGAGGTCAGCAGCTCTTTGACCTGCAGCCAGCAAAGGCTCCCTCAGAGGAGAGGGGGGCGGGGCGGGGCGGGGCAGGGCGGGCGGGAGCGGGGCTGACCTGGTCGTCATTCAGGTAGTTGGGCAGGCCCCCGATGAAGAGCTTGTGGGCCGAGTCAGGGACCACAGTGGACACAACTCCTGAGGGAGACACAGACGAACGTCAATCCCCAGCGCTCTAGGAGCCTGCAGGGAGGGGCGCTGGGGGACAACGGCCCCCCATCCACACGCCCAGCAGCCCACACCCCGGCCTGGGCCCAGAGAGCGAACTCACGACCCAAAGAGGCCGCCTGCCCATCTCCTGCCTCGGGCGAGGTCGTGACGCGCCCAGCCCCCCCATGCCTGGCCTCAGCCCAGGGTGGGGACGGCACAAACAATGCAGACCCAAGGGACCTCTTGCTCACTTCAGAGGTGTCTGCAGGCAGCACCCGGCAGGGGCTGGCGGACTCCTGGCCAGCCGAGCCCACCACATGGCCCTCCCACCCCTGCACCCACCCCGGGCTTCGCCCGCCCTCACACCGCCCCTGTAGACCAACAAGACAGAAGAGCTGAGCAGACCAGCATGGGGTCCGAGGCCAGGGTCAGGGCTGACGGCCTCCTGGGCACAAGCGTGGCTATCGACCCCCGCAGACTTAAAGGGTGGTCGCAAGCCAGGCCCTCACCCCAACACTCTGCGGCAGCCCAGCAAAAAAGAGGCAGTGCTGGCTGCGCCAGCCCTCAAAGACTCTCCACAGCACAGAGTGCTGAGGGGAACTGCGTCACGTGGAAAAAGCCGGGCTGGAGTTTCCCGGACTTGAAATCCTGGGGGAAGCAGAGAGGCCCGGGCCCCGTGTCCAGGGGCGCCATGGGCACCCATAGCTGTGCTCCCAGGCCCCAGAGTGTCTCGCGTGGGGCAGCCCGGTTCCTGGAAACCAACCTCAAGGCCCAGCCCCACCTGCTGGAGCTCTGGGCAGGCTGAGAGACCTGGGTGGGACCAGCTCTGGAAGAGGTAGAGCCTGAGGGTGCCTGTGGGAGACCTGCGGGCCCTGGCCCAGAGGAGAGAACCGCCCGCCCAAGGCCACGCCCAGAGAGCTGTAGCCTTAGAGGCCAAACCAAGCCCCAGACCCCTCATCTCTTATGGGGGGCACCGGCCCCCAACACCAGGAAATAAGGCGGGAGTCCACACTCCTATTTTCCCCATGCCCCCAAGTTGCCCTGAACCCCAACATCACTCTCCTGGTGCCGAGATATCACCTCCCTACGGGAAGACATGACCTGCCAGGGCACAGCTGCGACCCCAGCACCCTGCCCTCCGGCAAGGTCCGCCCTCACGCAGATAAGGGCCGCAGGTGGAGAGGAGCCTCCTGGGCTGAGGGAAGTAGACTGCCTACAAATGGCACGCAGCCCACCTCCCAGAGAGCTGACCCCTGCATGCCTGGCCTCCTCCACACAGGCCAGGTCCAGGCTCTGCCCCGCAGGTGGAGGGCGCTCTCCAGGGTCCTGAACCCTCACTGCAGCCAAGGCCGCGTGCCAATTGAGACCAAGAGGATGCCCCCCTCCAACCTTTCGCATAAGGACAGCAACTCCCCAACGAGGAAGGAAACAGAAAACCCAACGCCAGTTTTACTACCAAGAAGCCTCGACCAAAATCCCTCAACCTGCAGGTGCAGACCCGTGCCCCTGGTGACCGGCAGAGTACACGCCGGAATCACCAGGCAGGCAAACCCCAAAAAGCCTGCCCACAACAGGCTCTCTGCTTTTCACTCCCAGCTGGGACTGTGGAACTGGCCTGTGAGCAGAGAGAGCAGCCACGGGCGATGCTCTCAGAGGGGC